CGTTACTACAAACCAGTGTAACCGTTACTACAAACCAGTGTAACCATGACTACAAACCAGTGTAACCGTTACTACAAACCAGTGTAACCGTTACTACAAACCAGTGTAACCATAACTACAAACCAGTGTAACCGTTACTACAAACCAGTGTAACCATGACTACAAACCAGTGTAACCGTTACTACAAACCAGTGTAACCGTTACTACAAACCAGTGTAACCATGACTACAAACCAGTGTAACCATAACTACAAACCAGTGTAACCGTTACTACAAACCAGTGTAACCATGACTACAAACCAGTGTAACCGTTACTACAAACCAGTGTAACCATGACTACAAACCAGTGTAACCGTTACTACAAACCAGTGTAACCATGACTACAAACCAGTGTAACCATGACTACAAACCAGTGTAACCGTTACTACGAACCAGTGTAACCATGACTACAAACCAGTGTAACCGTTACTACAAACCAGTGTAACCATGACTACAAACCAGTGTAACCGTTACTACAAACCAGTGTAACCATGACTACAAACCAGTGTAACCATGACTACAAAGTACAAACCAGTGTAATGTTAATAGGAGGAAAACCCTGTCTCATACGATGTCACGTGCACTTATACTGTGTCCTGATTGGCCGGATATGAGTGCACGTGTTGTTATACTGTGTCCTCATTGGCCGGATGCCAGCACGCTACAGGGATCATAGACCCTAGTTTCAGGAAAAACTAATGTTTTCTTATTAAGAGGCGGTGTACTGTTAATTGTGAGGCTACGTTCAGCTCACCAACTCCTTATATGGGCATCACGTGGCTCGCCTAGTAGATTACTGTATAAGTAATGGTACTCATAAAAACCTAGGTCAAATCTGAGGATTAGAATATTGTCAGCAACCCACCATTCTAATTCTAATACTATGGGGGGGGGGGGGGGGGGCAGGGGGGCACCATACTATTCAGAGTGTTGTAGGGGGGGGGGGGCAGGGGGCACCATACTATTCAGTAAAATAACCACAAAACAACTAGAAATAAGAGTGTTATAGAAACTAGAAACTAGAGAGTAAGCTGCTAGGACTAGTAACTAGAGAGTAAGCTGCTAGACACTGAAAGTACACGATGAATATTGAGTCCGAACAATGACCTTTATTTGAGGAGCTGTGAGCTGCTCAGCTGTTACTGTAGCTGTTACTGTGGGCTGCTGCTCAATAAGAAAGCATTTGAAACACATTTCTGTCGTCGCAGAGCCTAATCATATAGGTATACCACCAGGCTAATATAGCCTGGTGGTCCACTGTGCGTCGTTATAACTAGTTTTAAATATATTTTACTGTGAAAATATTCGTCCGGGTGGTGAAGTGATAAGTCTGGTCTTGTCTGGACAGTTAACAGAGCTAACATCTCTCTGGATGTTAGCTCTGTTAGCTGTTAGGCCGTAGCAATAACTTATAGTATAAATAACAACCTAACAACTTAATGGGTATTAACTATTAGGATATAGTTGGATATTGTTAGGGGACCGGTTTTTGGATATCAAAGAAAGGTTGCAAATTTCTGGATTTGAAATTTCTCAATCTAAAATTTCCAGATTTGAACCTCGAATAGTGCAAATATGTAAAAAACAAGTGAGAGATTAAACGTACCTTAAAGATTACAGCACTGAGTGTTATGAGAAGAAAGTTACGAAATATACAAAATATGCTAACAGAAGAGTGTCGGGTATCCAAATCTTATGAAATGATTTCTGGAATGAACGTGAAGAGACCTACCAGGTCAAGGTTTTGAAACTTGATAGAGTTCTGACGGTCCGTAATTTCATTACTCCTTGCACTGCGGCCAATCAGCACACTTCCTCACAAGTCACGTGACTAGTTCAGCCAATCAAACCTCCTGGTTGTGAAAGGTTTACTTACTAGATTAGGAATGTCCAGTGAGAGGATGAGATCATAGACACGTGCTAACGCGTAACCAATCAGGTTACCAGGACAACGTCGCGTGAGAGTGGGCTGATATCACGAGAGAAGGACACCTGGTGTTATCTTAAAATACTGATATCAGGTTACTCACAACCAGGAACATCAATCCTGGAATGAGCTGGTTACTCCAGCCCTTACAGTACAGTAACAGGCTTGTAACTTGGTAACCAAGATCCTGGTAACTTGGTAACCAGGAGGCTTTCTTGAAAGATTCTAGTAACTTAGTAACCGCAAGGATTTCTTGGAAGATCCTGGTAACTTGGTAACCAGGAGGCTTTCTTGAAAGATTCTAGTAACTTAGTAACCGCAAGGATTTCTTGGAAGATCCTGGTAACTTGGTAACCAGGAGGCTTTCTTGAAAGATCCTGGTAAATTGGTAACCAGGAGGCTTTCTTGAAAGATTCTAGTAACTTAGTAACCGCAAGGATTTCTTGGAAGATCCTGGTAACTTGGTAACCAGGAGGCTTTCTTGAAAGATCCTGGTAAAATGGTAACCAGGAGGCTTTCTTGAAAGATTCTAGTAACTTAGTAACCGCAAGGATTTCTTGGAAGATCCTGGTAACTTGGTAACCAGGAGGCTTTCTTGAAAGATTCTAGTAACTTAGTAACCGCAAGGATTTCTTGGAAGATCCTGGTAACTTGGTAACCAGGAGGCTTTCTTGAAAGATTCTAGTAACTTAGTAACCGCAAAGATTTCTTGGAAGATCCTGGTAACTTGGTAACCAGGAGGCTTTCTTGAAAGATCCTGGTAACTTGGTAACCAGGAGGCTTTCTTGAAAGATCTTAGTAAATTGGTAACCAGGAGGCTTTCTTGAAAGATCTTAGTAAATTGGTAACCACGATGCGTCAATCGAAGATCCTGACTTAACAAACCGAATTAAAATAAGGGTGAAATAAAAACGACTTGTGAGTACAGTAGATAGATGTGAGCAGTTTGAAATTATATTAGATTGAAATAAGGGATATATAGGGATAATAAGGGATAGGCGCCAATGTTAGACATCTGCTTTTTGGGATTTTGTATAATGTATTATATGAAATGCATATACAAATATAATTTGTTTCTGTCTGGTTCTAATATACCGTTTCAGTAATGACTTTAATATAAAAATAGCGCCCCAGGTTACGACAACTAGACTCAGCCCAATTGCAACTACCACAGCCCCCTACGAAGAAGTGCCCCTGGTTCCGTCACTTATTTAAAGGATAGGTCACTGTAGTGAAATGAGCTTTAAGTAGATCGGGAATCCATTGTTGTCACGGTAACACAACCTGGATACAGTTAATTTATATTATAACCCTACTGTAAGGTATCCTGTTTGAAGTTCCCCAAATGCCAGCTTTCAAACAAAGCCTGAAACCTATCAGTTTTAAGTCGTACAAGGGCAGGTAACTAACAACTCATAAAACCTAATATCAGAACATAATTTGAAACTAGCAAGCCAAGCGCGACACCTGTCGTTTTATAAGAGGCGGGGTCAGCTAACTGGGGGGGGGGGGGGGGGCCTTACAGATACCTGGGGGGGGGAGGTTTGGTCATGTATAAGAGAGAGAGAGAGTAGTGGAGAGTGTAAAGTGAGATAACTCGGCTCAGAAACAAAATACAGAATATAAATTATTGGCACAGAGATAATACTACGTGCCAAGTACCAAATATCCATTATCAGAAATTGAATTTAGCTTTATATTGTGACCTATATCAGAACCATCGACTTCTCAAATCATATATGATACAAAGAAAACTCCATTTACGGACGTGAGGAGAGTTAGGACTCCTCCAACTACATTAAATCAATTCCTTCTGTAACCTCCTCAATAAATGTAATAGATTCGTAGTGTTGCAATTAGTTTTATTACTATGTGATATATGTAATGTGATATGTATAATATATAAATATATTATATATATCACATAGTAATAATTCAAGATGTTCCTCAAAGACATGCTAACTGTGTTTGCACAATGCTTAGTTTTCAGGAGAACTTTTGCTGTTGTTTTGGCATTTAGAGCTCGATAAGAAGTGGGGAGCAAAGATGTGACCTCAATTCAGTGGCGTAACGAAGCGTCGTTTTAAAATATGAAGGATCATGGGATCTAAAAACTATCTTATTGGTAGATTCAGTTGCGACGAGGAATCGTAGAAAATTTAACTAATCTAACCATGAATATAAGTAAGAAGATTATTCTATCATAAAACACGATAAGGAAATAAATTTGAAAAAGTAACCTGAATAAAAAGGCCACAAGAATGAAGAAGCCCCCCCCCCCCCCCCCCCCCCCCCCCCCCCGCAAGAAATACGTTGGCTGACTAGCTTTTAAACAAACAAAGATAAGCAAAATAAAATGCAATATACTTCGGTAGACTTTAGAAGTACAGAAAGGACTGATATAGTATATCAATAAAAAGGTTATGATACAATAACAAACAAAATAATTGGAAATAAAGCGACCTTAACATGGTAATCGTGAAGAAAGCTCAGGCTAATTATATGAAGTGCAGATACTTGAGGTAAATTATTAAAGCATGAGGTAAATTATTAAAACAATTGAACCCTCGACTCTTACTCAGTCCGCCTATACTTTTATACGTAACCATCGCACAGAAGATACCATATAAGAATAGCAGCATAATAATATTCAATAGAGTCAACAACTTCAAACATGAGGCGACCAGCAGCTGCGTATTAAAGTACACGCGTGTAAAAATGAGAACTTGAAAATATTAATTCTAGGCACGTGAGTCCGCACTTTCTACTTTTATTTTCATTGATTGCGCGCGGTCAATATTTACTATCGAACATAGTGGTAATTACATATTCAAAAGCAAAATTTGCCTACTAATTGAATAAATATTAATTTTAAAACACTTTAATGATTAATTTTGACGGTCTGATTTTAAAATTATTTATTCGGTTATGTTTATAAAATATTGTTGTTAAGACTAGATTTTCCGAACGCCGCGCAGTCCTAAATTTACCACTCCAGGTTTTAAGAATTAAAATTAGAATCGAGCGCTAGTGCGCGTACTTCAACGATTGCGCCAGTTGATCTCGTCCTTTTACCCCGTTTGTTTGAACTGACACCACAAGTTTATCAGTATATTTCTGACACTTCGACATGCTTGTCTTTATCGATAGATGCACTGGTGAGACTTTATAATTCATTATCTCATATTATCTAAGTGTAGCTTGATATTTTTATTGATTCGTTGCCATGTGATGGTGCTTTAAAACTAAGATCGCGCTTCATATTTAATGTCCACGTCAACTTTCCCTCACTTTCTACACATATTGCAATTTGTTCACGATCAAATTCTAAACTGTAACATGAAAACTAAAACATCATTTACTTGCTTGAGGTCGCGACTTTCAACTCTAATCGCTCATCAATTCAAATATATATTCTTCAGGCGAGGATCACTTTAGCGACGCTTACGCTTACGAGGAACTCTTTGGAGGAGCTATTGTGAAGGCGGCATGTAAGGTGAGTCACCACTGTTACCATAGTTACCTTAATTACCATAGTTACTTAGCTGTGCCATTCTTAATGCACCTACATTGCTTGGATATTTTAGGTAGAACTCTATTTGTTTTGGAATATTAATTAAAATATCCCAAATAGAGCAACTATTGAATTATAGCCTTTATCAAGATCATTTTGGGCTTAATTGTGTAATTAATTCCACAGCGTGCTGGTAATCACCCTGAATACATAACCTCTTAGACTTTGTAGGTGAATTACTCCTAAAAACCTTATCTTATATAATGTTTTAATGTTAAATAAACTTAACCGACATTTGTCTTCAGTGGGGCCACTACAGTAACAATGAAGATGTAGTATTAGCCGGCTCGAACCCCAGGTTAGTGCCGGAACTTACTAATGATGTCATAGTTTGTAGTAACCATAGTAACTAGTAACCATAGTTTGAAGTAACATACGATTCAAAAAAGGGGAGGGGGTCTTGAGTATTGAAAAAAAAACATGTCTTAATTGTGTTCAGCTTAGGAAGGATTTATAGTAATATAAAGAATTTACAATTATATCTCGTACGTGACCTCTGTTCTCGTACGTGACCTCTGTTCTCGTACGTGACCTCTGTACGTGACCTCTGTTCTCGAGAGAATAAGATTTATATTTTTTAACTTTGCCGGAGCTCGCATACTGTATTTATTTATTTTATTTTTTTCAAAGGTCATTGTCCAGCTATAAGGTTAGACAATACATACTGCATTTAGTACAGACAGATCCGTCTGAAAAAATCGATCTGCCGACACACAAAGCTTACAAAGGATTTTTGACGTTTTTGAGTCCTAATAGATGTCCTTTATGGCTGACCAACTTTTCCAAACTTTTCCACGTGTCTTAAGGCCACTTTTTGCCACTTAACCACTTTTTACCACCTTTCTTGTTTGTCGAATATCTTTAGTTGTGAACATCGTAAAAGGTTGCGGATCAATCGAGTGTGTTTATATTACTATGAAGAAAAACTTTTGTTCCAACAATTTTTACGTCAGATTATCAGTTAATTGGATAATTATCAATTAGCTAATTAGCAAAATTCTAAAAAAATTTTATTGGCTCAAAATGATCAGAATAGCTTAAAACACGGAGAAAAGTAGTTTTTAGAAAAACTTTGAAAATTTTTCACTTACATTTTTTTTCGAGACTTGGAAAAATTTCGAAAATTTAAAATATTTTTTTCCGCCAAAAGAGATCAAATCGCATGAAACGCGGAGAAAAATGCTTTTCAAAAAAACTTGGTGAATTTTTCCTTTCAAGAATACTTAAATCACCAATATTTGTAGTTGGAGTTCAGTAAATCGCGGCAGATTTTAATAATCAGGAATTACTAAGTGGAAAGGTCTGAAACTGAAAAACGTTAACCATTAACCATACGATATAAGAGTTTCATAACTAATTACAATACAGCCTTATCAATTTTCACAGAAACTGTACCAATGGCACAGTCAAGATCGAAAGACGAAACGATAGCCTGCTGTACTATCATTTTATTGATTTCAATGATGAATCAGTGGGGTTAAGATAATCACATTTGTATAAAAAAAACTATTCTGTACCGTCAATTGTGCTAATCTAAACCGGCCTACCTGGATTACCAGACCTCTTCTTTTCCTCAACAATCAAACCAAGTTGTTCATATAGCATTTGGTGGGCGATGTAAGTACTTATCGAGCTGTATTCAATCACAATACGACACAATACGTGTATATTATATGGCTCTTAATGAGGTTTATGAAACGCTTAATGCCGTGAGAAACCCGGTATAGAGACGTTTTACAGTTTATCACGAAAACGTATACTTGGCCTCATGGCTCATTTACAGTTTGAAGAAGGCAAGAACAGACTAAGGAACAGCCAGATCCAGGAAGCAAGTGTAAATACACCTTCCAACATCTAATCTACTGTGACTTGTTTTGTATTGTACTGCATACCACTTCATTAATCATTTGCTATGCGGTATAAAATCACCCCCATATGTCAGGGTCGGCTTAAAGTAAAATCAACAAGGGTAACATAAGGGCAAGGATAAGATTTAGATACGAGCGTCGGGAAAGGGGTAGTAAAGAACCGGTAATAATTCATTCAGTAAAATGTTCCACGAGAGTCAGGATATTTTGGAAATTGCTAATAGAGACAGATCCTGATCAGGAAGGATTGTTAATGTTATTGAGGATGTTGATTTGAAATCTGGACGTTGTGAAGATTTCAAATCAAAAAATACAGGTTCTTCCCGCAGGATATTCGGGGCCCATGATGATGAGCTCGGGATTAATGTGGGACAGATCGAAGAGCATTGAAAAGAGCGAGTTGACATTTTAAGCTTTCTGGTCTTTTATTGCCTTCTTTGAGCTGTCAAAGAGTCATGAGGCTAAGTAGACGTTTTCGTGATAAACTGTAAAACCTCTCCATACCGGGCCTCTCACGGGAGAAACGAGAAGTGTACGGTATAGAACGTTTCATATACCTTATTAAATTGCATTGTGTCGTATTGTGATTGAATACAGCTCGATATAATGTACTTACATCGCCCACCAAATGCGATATGAACAACTTGGCTTGATTGTTGAGGAAAAGAAGAAGTCTGGTAATCCAGGTATGCCGGTTTAGCTGATTAGCACAATTGAGTCATTGACGGTACAGAGAGGTTTTATTTATTACAAATGTGATTATCTTAACCCCACTGATTCATCATTGAAATCAATAAAATGATAGTACAGCAGGCTATCGTTTCGTCTTTCGATCTTGACTGTGCCATTGGTACAGTTTCTGTGAAAATTGATAAGGCTGTATTGTAATTAGTTATGAAACTCTTATATCGTATGGTTAATGGTTAACGTTTTTCAGTTTCAGACCTTTCCACTTAGTAATTCCTGATTATTAAAATCTGCCGCGATTTACTGAACTCCAACTACAAATATTGGTGATTTAAGTATTCTTGAAAGGAAAAATTCACTAAGTTTTTTTGAAAAGCATTTTTCTCCGCGTTTCATGCGATTTGATCACTTTTGGCGGAAAAAAATATTTTAAATTTTCGAAATTTTTCTAAGTCTCGGAAAAAAATGTAAGTGACAAATTTTCAAAGTTTTTCTAAAAACTACTTTTCTCCGTGTTTTAAGCTATTCTGATCATTTTGAGCCAATAAAATTTTTTTAGGATTTTGCTAATTAGCTAATTGATAATTATCCAATTAACTGATAATCTGACGTAAAAATTGTTGGAACAAAAGTTTTTCTTCATAGTAATATAAACACACTCGATTGATCCGCAACCTTTTACGATGTTCACAACTAAAGATATTCGACAAACAAGAAAGGTGGTAAAAAGTGGTAAAGTGGCAAAAAGTGGCCTTAAGACACGTGGAAAAAGTTTGGAAAAGTTGGTCAGCCATAAAGGACATCTATTAGGACTCAAAAACGTCAAAAATCCTTTGTAAGCTTTGTGTGTCGGCAGATCGATTTTTTCAGACGGATCTGTCTGTACTAATTCCAGACATATTATACTCTCAATTCGAAGAGTCTATAATTACATTACACTAGATAATTACATTACACTAATTACAGTGCCGAGGACGGCGAGGAGGCTGGTACTGAAACTTCAGAGAGGAAGATCGACCTCGTTCACCAGGTAACACCTTTATCACCTTGTAACACCTTTATCACCATGTTACACACTTGTCACCATGTTACACCCTTGTCACCAATTATATAATATATATAATCCAGTGAATGTTACTATATTATTCATATCCATCATCTAACGATACAAAGTGTTCAATCTTACTTAAAGAATTCTAATTGTATCAGAAAGATACGTTTAAATAATTGCAGTTCAAATTGGTAGAGTGTAACTACATGAACAAGAAAGGTTTCAAGGAATGGCTGACAGATGAGGATAACATGACCAGATGGAAGAAATTCTTCGTGGACGGCCTCCAGGAAAAAGACTACGTAAGTTTTTGGTTTTTTCAAATAACACCTGAAATATGAGAGCTACTAAGATGACCTACTATAGCTACTAGATATCAGGTAATGAGGTACCCAGTCAGGCCGCACCACCATTGAAAATGTTATAATTCAATGAGAAACTTATCAACTTTCTGATTGATTTGTCGTGTTACGTGATATGATGACCGCTCAATCAGTTTTGCTAAGGAGATAAACCTGATTTGATTTGAAACTTTTACAAAATAGCAAATATACAAATGTACAGCAAATCAAACAAACATATAAATTGGGCCGAAATGTACAAATTTGCTAAAAAGCGTGGGTCAGTGAAACAAGCACAGAGGACAGCTCCCCGGCCCTAAATCGGGAAAAACCTACATTTTAATATACTTAAATAAGGTCAGCCCCCCCCCCCCCCCTCCCTCCCCCCCCCCCCCCCCCCCAAGGCTGTCTTGGAGGATTAGGAGTTGGATGTTGTACACAGGCGTCATTAAAGAATGATATTGAATTATAAATACCTGGGGGTAATTTCTAACGCCAATCTGTATAAACGCTGCAACAGTGAACCACTGTCAGCTAGAGTGGAGAAAAGTCGATGGAGAAAGCTTGGTCATGTGCTGTGAGCAGGAGCGTGCCCAGGGGGGGGGGGGGCTGTGAGGTCTAGATAATGGATAATGGATCTGCCTAGTGCCTATATCTCCCTGGTAATTGCAGATAATAGTTTGCAGATGCCAGGGAGAGTTGGTCGACCTCGGCCTCAGTCAAACCTGTTCTCGCTGATAAAGCACGACTTAAGTTGCCAGAATTTATTTCTTAATAGCATATATATATACATATATTATATATGATTTGAATTATCTTAGGAATATTGCTTTTGACAGTGCGATTTGGCGCAGAATGCAAGTTTTATAATTCTGTATTGACGGTACTCGATCTGCTAAGTTACTAGTCCGGCCCTCCCAAACTGCAGAATGCAAGTAATAATAAAGTTTTATAATTCTGTATTGACATTACTCGATCTGCTAAGTTACTAGTCTAAAAAACCGCTGCACTGACCACCTCTGTATTTTAGTTTTATGCGGCGTGAAGCACACGAAATGTGCATCTAATGCAAATGGCGCATCTACACTCTACAGTAGGCAGTGAACGGTTAACAGTTTGCTTGTGTTTCAACAGGGATATTAAAACTCTTCCTTTGTTTCAGAAACTGAGCGATGAAGATGCTTTAGCTAAGGTCGAGGGAGGAGCGATGAAGGAATGGAAGAAAGAACTCACCAACTTCGCCAAATTTATCTTACCCCAGTGGAAGAACGTGATGGTTTACCATGTAAGTATTTAATTATTAATTATAAATAGTAAAAAGTCCCCTATTTATTAAAATTGCTAATTCATGCCAACACTGACTTACTAGTTACCATGACAAAACTGACTTACTAGTTACCACGACAACACTGACTTACTAGTTACCATGACAACACTGACTTACTAGTTACCATGCCAACACTGACTTACTAGTAACCATGACAACACTGACTTACTAGTTACCATGACAACACTGACTTACTAGTTACCATGCCAACACTGACTTACTAGTTACCATGCCAACACTGACTTACTAGTTACACTGACTTACTAGTTACCATGACAACACTGACTTACTAGTTACCATGACAACACTGACTTACTAGTTACCATGACAACACTGACTTACTAGTTACCATGCCAACACTGACTTACTAGTTACCATGCCAACACTGACTTACTAGTTACACTGACTTACTAGTTACCATGACAACACTGACTTACTAGTTACCATGCCAACACTGACTTACTAGTTACCATACCAACACTGACTTACTAGTTACCATGACAACACTGACTTACTAGTTACACTGACTTACTAGTTACCATGACAACACTGACTTACTAGTTACACTGACTTACTAGTTACCATGACAACACTGACTTACTAGTTACCATACCAACACTGACTTACTAGTTACCATGACAACACTGACTTACTAGTTACACTGACTTACTAGTTACCATGCCAACACTGACTTACTAGTTACCATGCCAACACTGACTTACTAGTTACCATGCCAACACTGACTTACTAGTTACCATGACAACACTGACTTACTAGTTACACTGACTTACTAGTTACCATGCCAACACTGACTTACTAGTTACCATGCCAACACTGACTTACTAGTTACCATGACAACACTGACTTACTAGTTACCATACCAACACTGACTTACTAGTTACCATGACAACACTGACTTACTAGTTACACTGACTTACTAGTTACCATGCCAACACTGACTTACTAGTTACCATGCCAACACTGACTTACTAGTTACCATTCAACACTGACTTACTAGTTACCATGCCAAAAACGGGACTTACTATTTTACCATGCCAACACGATTACTATTTCCATACCAACACGACTTATTTGTTACCCATGACAACACAAAACTTATTTGTTAAAACTGACTTATTTATTTTCCATGCCAACACTGATTTACTAGTTTACCATGCCAAAAACGGATTTACTAGTTACCAGGGCCAACACTGACTTACTATTCCATCCCAAACACTGTTTTAAATAGTTACCATGCCAACACTGATTTAAACTAGTTACCTTTAAAACATTTGATTTTCTAGTTTCCATGCCACACTGACTTACAAGTTAAACCATAAACAACACTGACCAAAATTTCCTTTTCCCAAAGGATGTTAAAAGGGGGGTTCTTGGGGGGGCAAAAAAATTTTTCATGGGGAAGACGGAAGGGAGTTTTAAATTCAACTACATCAATAACGGGTCCCAGAACTGAAAAGTTCAAAAACAACAATTTCCCTAAACAACCTGTTAAGTTTTTAGGTTAGTTAAATTTATTATTTATATCATATTATATCATATTGTATGTTATTATAGTGCATGTAGGTTATTATAGTGCATGTAGGGGGAAATTGTAAGATACTGAAAATGTGTTAAGAACTTCCTGCATTCCTTTTTATTGCAATACTCATGAGTCTAAAGAGTACATTTCTTAAATAATTCCCACATTTTCTGTCTCTTTCCTTCTATGTCAAGGTGCTATCACTTATACATAATACACGTATTATATAGTCCAGTTTAAAACACCCCTTGCCATAATTAGGGGTGAAACTCGTGAGTGCTCTACTTGTAGCGTCTAATCTCTTTAAAAAATGTTATCCAAATTGTATTAAAATTGGCCAAAATTCAATAGGTGGGTAGAAAAATTGCATGCCAATGTTTGGGCATACGCATCAAATTTGATCGTTTGCAGCCCTAAAATTGCAAACAGTTAATATCTCTCATTTTCGTAAGATTGATATGATACTTCCCCTTCCGTAAAACACTGATATCATGTGGATAAGAAATAGTTTACTATAAATAGAACTTACATAACTGAATATACATAAAGTTAGTGGCAACGTTTAGCTGATAACACGAACGACACATCGGAGAGTTCTAGAGAGCGCGCGCGAAATGTTTAATTATGTAGCGTCCAAAGTATCGTCCACATTTTACTCTTGGATTTTCTGCTTTTTCACAAGCCGCGCTAATGCTGAATGCTTTCAATATTGATTGTTCAATGTTCATAAGGCAACACTTTGGCCTGTGAATTGCTAAATCTATAATTGAGACATTATTTGTAAGCTTAGTTTTAAATGATTGAATTAAACGAAACTTCATTTCAGGGTCGCTGGGGTGTTCATCGTCTCAGTCGAGGATCTTTTTAATTTTTTTAGAGATTTAATTCTTGCTTCAAGAATCTACATTCTGTGTTTTACTTTTAAGACTGTGAATTAGTTCTTTGGGATCTTCACATAGGGGGAGGGGCTTTGGAGAAGCTGACGCCAGGGTAATTTATACACAATAGCCAATAATAAATAGCCAATACACCATGCTGAAAGTGGTAAACGGAGATTGGAGAGTGTCTGAAAATGGAAAAGGTCGGGAATGTCAAAATTGGGCTAAAGTTATATTTGAATGATCACTTTCTTCTTAGAAGCTAACTATAAATCAGCTACATTCCAAGACTCTGTTTTAAAGTTATGTACGCAGTGTTGTCATGGTAACTAGTGACACCCCTTAAATCACTAAAATATGCATCTTTATTGAATATTTCTCAAACATGACAGAGTAAAGCAATAAACGATCATACAATGGAATCGTTCGAAAATTTGTCCCCCTAGCTGTAAAATAAGATGGGCATACACTGTTAAAACGCATAATTAACTAGGTCCACAATTCTCAATAGGATGATACTTTTCGAGCATGCTAAATCACTACAGTCGATCTTCGAGATTGTTCAAAGACAGTTGAAACTAACTTCAATCGATGTATTTTCGGAAGCTGATTCCGAATCACCCCCATGTGCCATGACATAAGGTTAAAATGCCGAGATATGGGCGAAAAACTGTCTCTATCACCGATCACGTGATATGACCGTATAATAAGGAAGTTAGCCTAACTTCTCAGCATATGCTTTTGTTAAGGGTTGGGATGAGATTAGAGGGTTGGGGTTGTGAATAGTCGTTCAGGGCCAGCTAGAGAACGGGTTGAAGAAGTGACAGTCGAGTGTAGCAGTAGAGTTGAAAGTGATTAATCATCATCCCTAAAATCACATAATTTGTTCAATTTTACGATTCTACCAATAATAATACGAAAGAAAAAAATGTGTGTACTATCCCGTCAACTTGAACTCTCCTGGGAGAAATAATACCCCGCTGCCCGCAAATTATTTTTCTGCTCCGACTGATCTTTTAATTCGACGGACGGGATAATATACCAATTCAAAATTGGGTGGTTTTACAACATGAAAACCTTTCGCCACTGTATATTGCCCTCTTACCTGGGGACCCCAGGCTATTATGTTCATAAACATAATAAAGATTCGGCGGAATGACAGGCTGAGCGCCGCCCAGTAAATTGCCCTCAAGTCACCTAATTGAAATTTGTTTAGTTACGTCGCCAGCGCCTCACGTTGTAATTGTATAGTGGGCCCGCAGTGCACGAGTAATAGTATCTTATTAAACGAAATAAAATGACGATGAGCAATGAGGGTCACGTCCAGTTCCACAACGTGAGACAAATATTACGTAATCACTTTTTGGACAATTTTTAGGATGATGATTAATCACTCTACACTCGACTGTCAAGTGACTTTTTCAACCCGTTCTCTAGCTGGTCCTGTACGACTATTCGAAACCCTAACCCATTAATCTGATCGTAACCCTAACCCAATCCTTAACAAAAGCATATGCTTAAAGTTAAACCCTAACGAGAAATTAGACTAACTTCCTTATAGTTTTAGTTTTACGGTCATATCACGTGATCAGTGATTGAGACAGTTTTTCGCCAATATAGCTATCGTGTACAAATTACCAATTACACTAGCGTAATCATTTGGAAACCCATCCCCTCGGCTGCAGATTACGTAATAATGTGAACGATCAACGACCCCTGCTTAAACTTTAAGTTAAAGATCCTTCACCTTGGCCTTTGCAGCTCAGCGTGGCCCAGTGATGCTGTCCATCTCGCCGATCTAGTGTATATAATAGTGCATCTACATGAACATCTAATAGCGCCACAATTTGTAGCGCGATGCGTTACTGTGCCGCGCCGCGCACTTAATAAGGCTTCTCTGGCTAGATCGGCGAGATGCGCTACTGTGCCGCGCCGAGCTGCCATGAATTGACATCGTCAATTAACGCTACAATTAATAGATTTTCTCATGCTTACCTGGGGACCCCTTACCTGAGGACCCCAGGCTTTAATGTTGATAAACAACATAGAGATTAGGCGGAATGACAGGCTGAGCGCGGCCCAGTAAGGGACCCCAGGCTATTATTGATTATATTTATATTCTTAATAATAAAATAGAGATTAGGGCTAGGCGGAATGACAGGCTGAGCGCCGCCCAGTAAATCCAATAATATTAATGCTTCGTTAGAGAGGCGTTACTTTTTATTAGCGGTTAAAGCTGCGAAGGATTGACATCGTCTGCGTCATACAGTCCAAGCACCAAGATAATCCACGCTGTGATCGAACCGGAAATGTACTGAACATGCTAAAGACAAAGTATATGCTATAAAATGTTCTAATAATGTAGTACAATATAAACATGCTAAAGTTTATTTCTTTCTCTTTCTTGTAGATGTAAGATAGCGACAAATTTTAAAAGGTTTGACCGTCTTGTCCTACACCGAGTGCTTGTTTCTGTAAAATTGTCCGCTCCATTGTATTGCCAGAAACGTGCAGCGCGAGCGACCAATGAAATCCTCCTTCTTTCACAGGCATGGATTTAGCGTGATAATCACATGTGGCATTCAATCTGGCCTGTTACCCGACATGCTGAGTAAGGAACAACTGTGTCACGTGATGCCCATATAAGGAGATAGTAATGAACAACTGTGTATGATATTACTGCTGCCATAATTTAACGACCCTGCTCAGTGAGAGATCAGAGAGCCCCGGCCACCATATTATTCCTTATAAGGCCAAATGGTGGACATCAATGAGCGGCGATTATTATGTGCTATAGTTGAACTCTCTCTTTCTGCATAGAGTTGTTTTCTGTATAGAGTCGTTTTCTGTATAGAGTCGTTTTCTGCACAGAGTTGTTTACTGTTGTCATAGTAATACTATACTATACTACTACTATACTATTAGTATGGACTTCGCTGGTAAGTTTCGCTACTGTAAATGTCTTCCAGTGCTGCTAATCTGATCGCTTGTAGCTATTATTTTCAATTGCACCACATATTTTTTTTGCATTGCTACTTTGCTAGGAGAGGATGACAGGTTCAATGAATGAACCTGATTCCTGCTGTTATGGTGACCCCTGGGTTAAGTGTCCAGCGTTGCCATGGTAAAATTAGGTGCCCTGCACGTGCACGCTATATTAGTACACTATTATATAAGTGCACTTTTAATAAATGCTGCGATATGCAATAACCGGACTAGCATCAAGGAAGCTACACTGATATGTGTCAACCTGCACACATCCGTTACCAACCTTCACTCGAGGCAGCCAGAGCCCACGCCTGACTGGTCCTTTTTATTATACACATAATATCACGTGGTGTGACGTCATGTCACGTGGCGTGACGTCATGTCCGTGGTATGGCGTAAAAGGGCACGGGGGTTTTTTACGTAAATTTAAGTGATTTTGAATAAGGGCACCCTGTTGTGACGTCATGTCCGTGGGTGGACGTCATGTCACGTGGTTTTGGGGCCATTCACGGGGTTGTGATGATCTAATAATTTTTAGTGAAACGTTTTTGGGCCGGTCTTTTCCAAACATGAAACCCCGATGATAGTGGTTTTGATTTTTTGCCATAGGAAAATTACCTTTTGGGTTTTTTTGAGTCTAGATACCACTTTCCACGGCTGAGCTAAACGAAGTTCGGGTTTCAAAAGTACGACACCTTTCTATTAAAACTTTAAAAAATTAAGAACCCGGGCGATAACCCGTTTCTTTTTCTGTGGAAATCAATAACTAATTTAAATTCATTTTTTTTTTGTCATTTGTATTAGATTTTCCCCTTCAACTGTCTCTGATATAGTTCTAATGTACCGTCATGTGACTATAAATATACCACACACAAGGTAACTGCTTTTGTGACTGACATTTGTCATTATCCGAAACAGCCTTGTTACTGATATGCCTTGTAGAATATCACGGGGCTTCTTCCACTAGCTTCTTGGACAGAATACCCCCTTTCTATTATAGTTTGCGCCTATATATTGTAGGTGACCCCTATAACAGTATAATAGCTATAGTCAATGTGACTCCCCTGTATAATGTAGTCAAGGTGACTCCCCTATAGTCAAGGTGACGACGCTATATTCTAGGTGACGACACTATGTTGGGAGACGAAGATACATTCTCTAATCCGGGTGAGATTTTTATTTTCTATTGAACAGTTGTTTAGAAATTGCAAGGAGATGGGGGTTCCGTAGAGCCAAGAAATGAAACTATAAAAATGTACACATAATAGTAAACACTCTATGATTATAGTAATTATTAGTAATTATTATGTAATATTTTCTGATTCACATTAATAATACCACGTAAAATGTTCAAATCAGCAGAAAAACTGCGGTTTGAAAATAGCCCGGCTATATTTGTCTACATCTAATTAGCGCGACAGTTGCTGCTGTGTGCGCTGTTTCTTCGGTGCTGATAACTTCAAATTAGCTTTTTTTAAATATGTACTAATTGTAGTGATATTTTAAAGTAGTTACTATAGTAACTATAGTAACTATAGTAACCAACCAGTAACATGTACATATTTGGATCTTGCTATTTCAATGAGTATATAGTTAATAGTAGTAATAGTAGTAATAGTAGTAGTACACAGCGTGTGATCTTGCTAAGAAACACACTTTACTTTCTCATTACACTAGATAATACCATTAGGTAACGTGTTGTCATGGTAACATACCACTAGATATTATCATCAGTGGGTAAAGTGAGCCGGGTCAGATGTCTACATTAGCTCAATCAGCACTTAATAGGATGGAATTGCTTGCGGAGTGGTCAGTCAGCGGCTCTCTAATTACACTAATAATCCTAATTCTCCTTAATTTGGAAATACGAGACTAGCTATTGTCAGTAATCAGAATGTTTATGAATTAGTACATAGCTAGCTGCATTTGGTTTGGTTTACTCAGCTGCACAGGATTGTTCTTTAGTTTGGTTTTGTAGAGCAGCCTACTGTTATTTGGAGGGCAGTACAATATAACACACATTCAAACACATCTCTATAGTTTATATAGTGTACTAAATATAGAATACATTCAAACACATCTCTATAGTTTATATAGTGTACATTAAAACACATCTCTATAGTTTATATAGAGTACTAAATTTGTTTGGCACAGTTGATCGTTTCTAATTATAGTTGTATTTTATGTAAAGTTTAAATCCGACAAGCTTTTAGTTTTAGTATGTGTATTGAGAGACTAGAAATGCCTACAGCTGTGACTTTATGTGAGGCAGAGTGGGGGGTCGACCCCCCGGCTGAGTTTCAAAACCACAACATATCAGGCGAGTTATCGGTGTTATTGGGGGGGGGGGGGGGGGGGGGGGGGCTGAGTTTTAAAACCACAACATATCAGGCGAGTTCTCGGTGTTATTCTGGGGGGGGGGGGGGGGGGGGGGGGGGGGGTTATATAGTCATTGTTAGCTTGTTACTACGGTTACAGCTAAAACCTGTTTGTAAACTTTGTTAACTCAGATATTGACATATTGGACCTGTGTCGAGAAGTCGCGATAGCAACCGGACAATTCGCTCACGACTACACAGAGGATTCGCAACACTCCAAATCACTGTTTGGTAGGTTCCTATCAGGATTATTCAGAATATTGGTAGTTGGTAACTGGGAGAGGTTGTGGGCGATTATTGGAGATTTGTGTTAATCGTCTTCAACCGGTTACTGATATGTTTTGTTTTCAATGTGGTTGAATTAGATTATACAAGTTACAAAAACAGGGGAAAAAAAGCCCCCAAAAAAAGCCATTCCCAAAATAGAAATTAGAGCTGAAATGCTTTTTTTGGGGTTGGACACCCCCCCCCCGATATGGTTACTGAGTATTTCTCTATTTCAGATTCCTCTAACAAGCTGGAAGAAGTATTAGACGAGGTTCTTGTTAAGTTCAGCGGGAACGAAAGTGGGAGTTGAATATCAGAACTCGTTACCATGACAACACGTTACCATGATACCGCTGCC